AAGATCCTCACGCGCCGTCCCCGGGACAGCTGGCAGCTGGCTGGCAAATGCTGCGAAGAAGCCAATTAATGAGTGCTGGGATGAGTTCGGCGTAGCGATGGTCGGTGGCGGAGTGACCACAAGCTGGTACCTGTCTCTGCCCTTGTGCTCAGCGTTAGGTGCGCTTGGCCCATCTTGTGCCGGGCGGATGGGAAGAAGGCAGGCAGCGCCTAGAAGGGGTGTCCACTCCTCAAAAGCACGGGTCTGGGAGTTTCGGAGCGAGTTGTTCCTGCGGTGACGTGCCTCTCTTGTGCTCTAAGCTTGCTGACAGTGTCACATCCCTGCTGGCGTGCGGAAAACAGATAAGGACTAGAGAACGTTCCTTGCCAGAGAGCAGCAAAAGGTTCTCCAGCTGGGGGTGGTTGGAGCACTCCCCGGGCAGGGAGAAGGCGGGGATCCGTCCACACAGAGATGTGAGGGCCTCCCTCGAGAAGTGTGACGCGCCCCACCCACCCAGTGGTGAGAGCACCCCGTCTTGCTGGCGGAAGCCGCCCCACGATCTCGCACGCCGGTGTCCCCTGCGTGGGGCTTTTGCAGAAGTAATATTCACTGGACTTTTTCTTTCTGACTTTAAAAAGTATTCTTGGCCGGGCGCGGTGGCTCATGCCTGTAATCCTAGCACTCTGGGAGGCCGAGGCGGGAGGATTGCTCGAGGTCAGGAGTTCAATATCAGCCTGAGCAAGAGCGAGACCCTGTCTCTACTAGAAATAGAAAGAAATTATTGGCAATCGAAAAAAGCCAAAAACAAAAGAAAAAAAAAAAAAAAAAAAAAAAAAAAAAAAAAGAAACGAAACAAAACAAAACGAAAAACAAAAGAAAAAAAAAAAAAAAAAAAAAAAAAAAGACAAAAAAACGAAAAAAAAAAAAAAAGATAAAAAAAAAAAAAAGAAAAAAAAAAAAAAAATAAAAAAAAACAAAAAAAAAAAAAAAACTAATATATATAGAAAAAAATTAGCCGGGCATGAGGAGCCTGTAGTCCCAGCTACTGGGAGGCTGAGGCAGGAGGATCGCTTGAGCCCAGGAGTTTGAGGTTGCTGTGAGCTAGGCTGACGCCACGGCACTCACTCTAGCCTGGGCAACAAAGTAAGACTCTGTCTCAAAAAAAAAAAGTATTCTTGGCCGTTGCAAATAATTCAGGAAGGCAACAACGACAAAGATGTACAGAGACAAAACCACGCCCCCGAGTCTCCCCAGTACCGGCAGCAGTTTGACGTCTTTCCTTCCAGTCGTTTTTCTGCACGTGGAGGAGGCTGAAGCTGCTTCCACATTCTCACTTAACGCTTTCCAGAGTCAGTGGGCAATTCCTCACGTGCGTCGTGCTCGGTGGCTGTGCCATGCCCCGCCACACGGCTGCACCGGGACATGTTTGGCCGTCGCTTTGACGCCTGCTGACTCACTTCCAGTTTTCCACAATTACGAGCAGTTGGAATGTGCTCTTAGATCCGACTTCCTGGCTTGTTTTTCTTGGGACGTGCACGCACAAGGGAAATGGAAGAGTCAGTGCTACGAATGTTTAAGGCTTGCCTAAAGGTCAGGATGATTTCTACTCCAACACCACCACTGAGTTTTGCCCTATTAAAAAGCCTGGCAATCTGATACCTAGAAAACCAACAGCATCTCCTTTTAATTTGCACCTCTTTGATGAATGGGGGTTGAGCGTCTTTCTGAATGCATTTGAAGTCTTGCTTCTGCGAATGGTCTGTGGATTCATACGCCTGTAACACCCGTCTTGGGCGCCTGAAAACAGCGTTTTAGACGACATTAGACCCTCCACATAGGCGGATTCAACCACCCGCAAATCAAAAATATTTTTTAAAAAACAATCATATTGGCCATGCACGGTGGCTCACGCCTGTAATCCTAGCACTCTTGGAGGCCGAGGTGGGCGGATTGCTCAAGGTCAGGTGTTCAAAACCAACCTGAGCAAAAGCGAGACCCTGTTTCTACTAAAAATAGAAAGAAATTAATTGGCCAGCTAAAAATAAATAGAAAAAATTAGCCGGGCATAGTGGTGCATGCCTGTAGTCCCAGCTGTTTGGGAGGCTGAGGCAGGAGGATTGCTTGAGCCCAGGAGTTGGAGGTTGCTGTGAGCTAGGCTGATACCACAGCACTCTAGCCTATGGAACAGAGTGAGACTCTGTCTCAAAAGAATAAAAAAAAACAAATGTAAAAACAATACAGTGTAACAACTATTGACATATGTTTACATTGTATCAGGTACTGTAAGAAATGCAGAGATGACTTGCAGCTTAAGGGAGAATGTGCCCAGGCTACATGCAAATCCTGTGACATTTTACACAAGGAACTTGGGCAGCCACGGGCTTTGGTATCTGGGTGGGGGATGGTCCTGGAACCAACGTCCTGCGGGTGTCCAGGGACGATTGTGTTGTGTTTGTGTGACTATGAACTTCAGTCTGGGCCTGGGCAAGTTGTGACTTGAACCAGTGGAATGCGCATTACCGAAGTTTCTCTGTATTTAATAACAGAGCTATGGAAGAGCAAAACGATAAAGTCTGTGTGCGGTGCCATCGACATGTTGGCCTCAGAACGTCATGTCGTTTCTTCCCCGCAGGTATCAGTGCCCGGCGGGCTGCCTGCGGAACAAGGCTAAGATTTTCGGGACTCTGTTTTACGAGAGCGTGAGTACGGCCGGCATTCCCTCAAGCCGTAGGTTTCGAAGGAGGGCTGGTGGTTTTGCGGGATGAGATTTTCTCCCCACTCCTTAGCCAAACCGGGCACGCCCAGAACTGACCCGGGCGTGCATTTCTGGGCTCACAGACACGCGGAGCCACTTCTGGGAACTGAGCTGATCCCCGGGAGGCCGGTCCCCCGCCGGCTGGGCGTCCGCATGCTCCACTGGAGGGGGAGAAAGGGCCGTTTGTCGCTGCTCTCAGTTCGTAAAGCGACTCGACTCGGATGGGTTTTGAAGATAAGCGGCCCCGGGAACAAAGACACGGTTATAGGCAGACGGGGACTTCCGAGGTTGGGGAAGTCCCGCCCGTCCTTTTGGCTCGTAGTGGGTTGAGGACGAACATGGGGGCGCTTCTGACAAAGGCTGAGTCACAAGCCGCGTGTGCTCTCCCCTCCCCCCCAGTCCTCCAGCATCTGCCGGGCCGCCATTCACCACGGGGTCCTCGATGACCAGGGGGGCCTGGTGGACGTCACCAGGAACGGGAAGGTGCCCTTCTTCGTGAGATCCGAGAGAAACGGCCTGGAGTCTTTGAGGTAAGCGTCCTGCGGTCGCGGTTCCTTACAGTGTTTTTCCCGGTGACGAAAGTGCCGCTGAACCTTTAGAAAGTGTTGAACAATATGAAGGCGCAGAAAAAAGTAAAGACAACTTGGATCCCGTAACTCAGAAATCGCCCATGTAGGCAGCATAGCAGCACATCTCATTCCGGCGGGACCTTCCTGGGTGTGTGTTGAACTTGGGCGAGTTTTGAATCCTCCTTCTTCTACCTTTTGAGTCAACGAGAACGCTTCAGGCTGATGGTGTCTGTGAATGTGTGGGCTCATTCCTTTTTGTTGAGACAGAGTCTCACTCTGTTGCCCAGGCTAGAGTGAGTGCCGTGGCGTCAGCCTCGCTCACAGCAACCTCAGACTCCTGGGTTCAAGCGATCCTCCTGCCTCAGCCTCCCGAGTAGCTGGGACTACAGGCATGCGCCACCATGCCCGGCTAATTTTTCTATATATATTAGTTGCCAATTAATTTCTTTCTATTTAGAGTAGAGATGGGGTCTCGCTCTTGCTCAGGCTGGTTTTGAACTCCTGACCTTGAGCCATCCTCCTACCTCGGCCTCCCCAAGTGCTAGGATTACTAAGCTAGTTCTTTTTTTTTTGAGCACAGAGTCTCACTTTGTTGCCCAGGCTAGAGTGAGTGCTGTGGCGTCAGCCTAGCTCACAGCAACCTCAGACTCCTGGGCTTAAGCAATCTACTGCCTCAGCCTCCCGAGTAGCTGGGACTACAGGCATGCACCACCATGCCCGGCTCATTTTTTCTATATATATAGTTGGCCAATTAATTTCTTTCTATTTATAGTAGAGATGGGCCTCGCTCTTGCTCAGGCTGTTTTGAACTCCTGACCTCGAGCAATCCGCCCACCTTGGCCTCCCAGAGTGCTAGGATTACAGGCTTGAGCACCTCGCCTGGCCTAAGCTAGTTCTTGATTAGCGATTTTTCCACTCCCTAGAGAGTGAGGTTTTCAGTTTTTTTAATGTATTTACTTTCCCCCCAAGGTAATGTTTGTCATCGAGGGTGACAGATGGTGGGTGGGTCCTTCTCGATGTGGACTTCCTGGGTAGCGGTGGGGGAGCATGACTAGCGCTCCCACCTGATCTGCCTGTGGAACCCAGTGGGGACAATAGGGGTCAGACAGACCGGGTCCCTCTTCCCCCTGTGATTCAGCCAGTGTCTTCACCTCTTCTGAGTGGCAGTGTCCTCATCTTGCAGTGAGGGTCATCTGCAGCACCGTTAAAACTCGTCCTGTTGGAGACCTCTTGTGCCCCTCCCTGTAGCCCCCCCCTTGCGCGTCTCTGGAGCTTTGAACATTGCTCCCGGAGACACACATGTGCAGGGGAGATTCGGGACCCCCCGTGCCCGATGCCCACCCCGGGGTCTATGAAAGGAAAGCTTTGAACAAAGCCTCCTGCGATGGTACAAGGTAGCGCATCCCGTCCAACTGTGAGGCTACTTGGAAAATTTTCGAAAAACAAGAAGAGTCGTTGCACTTTGACACATCTTGCTCTTCGGGCGAGTTGGGATATCCCTCTTTGCTGCCTTAGCGAGGGACTTGGCGTGAGGGTTAGGCAGAGCAAAGAGCAGGGCAGTCCATGCACGCAGATACCGGTTGGTAACTTCAGCACCGCGGCGGGAAGGCCCTGCGGCAGGCCACTGGGAGCCTCGGTGAAGGCTCCACTCCTGCATCCCGGCATGCTTGTCCTGGAGGCCTCTGGGTCTAACAACGGCCCACTTTGCACCCAGAACAGGGCATCTGCACGTTTTGGAATTCAGGGTCTGCCGACATTAATGCAGAGCAATTTACGACTTTATTTCACCAATCTCTAATTGAAAGGTAGTATTTCCTTCCTTTTGAATGTTGGCCATGAACCAGGCTAGCATTCGCAGGCCGGCGACTTTCTCGCTGGAAGAATCCAGTTGCTGCCAAACATCCTGAACCCCCGTCCCTGGTGCGTTTCCCCTGAAATGACAGCAGTTAGAAGACGCCTCTAAAAATCTGCTATTCGGTGCATTTGATAAAGGAAGCCAGCTTTAATGCAAATCTGCTTAACACTTTGATAATGATATTAATAGTAACTGATTTCTTTGTGATGTTTAAATCCATCTTAGGCGTTTTTAAAACCATTATTCTGAAGAAGGGCCGTAGGCTTCAGCCGCAAGCAGAGAGTCCTTGGTACAAAAAGGTTAAGGTTTGCTCTAGAAATTCTGAGAATTTTTTCAGGCTGATGAAACAAGTGGGAAAGGTGAAGTTGAAGCTGGTAAATAAAGATAAGTACCAGAGCCAGGGTGTGCTTTCAGAAGCAATTCTGTTTGCACTTACCTAATGTTTTCTTTTACAGCAAATACAAACTCCTGGCTCATTCACGGTATCAAAGGTGAAAGGTAAGCTGGCACCTCTTATGTGACCATAATACCCAGGTTATCTTGGATGTCCCAAAATTTCACTTCCCTTAGTTGTTGTTTTCATGTTAACATACATGGCTTGCTCTCAGTTTGCAGAGGCTTTTTGGAGAGGCCCCTGAGGAGGTCATTTCGTTAACTAGTTTCTAAACATCTGGAACTTTTTAGAAAGTGCTCATTCCCAAGAGCCCCCTGCCCAGAGACGCTAGAGCCAGCGGGAGATGAGTCGTGCGCGTGGCCGGTGTTTGGGTTTTAACGGTGTGTGTAAGGCCCTCCCGTGATTCTGACACGCACCCCCGGTGCCAAGTCCACGGTGTACGACTCCTGGCCCACAGCCGTGGCAGAATCTCCTGGGGAGTCGTAGACACGAGATTCTGGGCCTCACCTGTGTTCCCGGGAGGTTGAGCGACTCGAGAATTTGCCAGTCTTACCTTGAGAAAAGGAGGGCCTGGAAGAGCTGACCAACCGCACTGAGATGAGACGGTCACAGCAGGAGGCGCTGCCTGGAGCTAGTCCCGGCTGGGGGCCGGCCGGCAGTGGACAAGATTTGGCCGAGTGAAGACAAAAGGGCTGGGTGCAGCGGCTCACTCCTGCAGTCTAGAGCTTCGGGAGCTGGAGGTGGGAGATCGCTTGAGGCGGATCGAGACCAGCCTGGCAACAGAGTAAAGATCCTTCACTTGCAGAATTTTTTGAAACTTAGCGGTGTGGCACACACCTGTGGATCACAGCTCATGGGGCTGAAGAGGAGGATGCTTGAGCCCAGAGTTGAGGTATAGTAACTATGATCAGGCCCTGCACTGCCAGCCTGGGCAACAGAGGAGATCTTGTCCTCAAAATAACAAGCAAAACCCCAAAATACAGAAGGATCTTGTGGAGAAGCCAGCCGCTTGTTACTGAGTCTGCATCTGGTCTGCGTCCTCTTAGCCAGCAAGCTCCCTGGCGAGATGGTCATCCGTGCGGTTCCCGGAGGCGAGGATAGGGACGCAGCTGGCCAGTGCCGCGGACTTTGCGCCGAGCATTAGCCTGAAACCTCCAGAAGCCCCTGGGTCATGGGCCAGCGAGGTGCTTGTCACCCCACGGGGAGTGGGATTAGCAAAAGTGTTTCTGAAGAAACGTTGGCTTTCCAAATGAGACAAATCGTACCAAGTCGTGACGAGTGGTGTCCCCAAGTGCTCCTTCAGGGGGCTCCCTCCCTCAACGTCAGCTGTTCACCTAGTCGAGGCATGAAACTCCCGGCAGGAGCCCAAATTTTAAGATCTTCTGGTTACCGGTTCGAAAAGAACTTTCCACCCAGCCTCGGGTCTGGTTTGGACCCAGGGCGGCTCTCAGGGGATTGGAGGCCAATGGCCAGCCCTGCTTGAGAGGGGCCTGCATGAGCAGCAGACACGGGTCACCAATGCAGGGAGAGAGGAGGCCGGGCGGAGGCTGCCAGCCTGTGCCGGACGGCCCTACGCCGTTGGTCCCTCAGCCAGGGTTCACTCTGGGGCAGTGGGCCCTGGGCCCACAATGAAAAAAAAAAGAAAAGAACTTCCCTGAGCTGAAAATGGTGAGATGACAAGTAGCAAGACGTTGTAAGCCATGTCGTAAACATTGAAGCTTCTGACCAGGAATTGCAGCGGTGGCCTGAGTACTCGAGCTGCTGGACGCACGTTGGGGCCCGAGCCGGTGCCCGCACCGTGTTCGCAGCAGGGTCTGGCCACGGCAGCCTTCAGGACTCAGGCGGCGGATCGAGTGGGCGCTTCCCCGGTGGGCGCCAGCGCATCCCCGAAGGTAGTCGAGTGGATCCATTCGAGCTGACAGACCGGTTAACATCGGCGTCGGAGTTTGAAGCGCGTCTGCCAAGGAAGAACGAGCGCGGTTTTGGCAGCCGCGGCGCCGGGACGCTCCTTGCTGGCACAACAAACCGACCGACAGGGCGGCCGCCCTTGCAGACCCCGGTTCGTGACGCGAAAACCGTGTTCCTCCAGAGAGGCGGGCTGATTCATCCTTCCTGTGAAATCTGGCTGAGTTCGTCAAAAGCTGAGCGAGTCATTTAAGAGCCACCTGTAAAAAGAGGAGGGGTTTATGCCACGGCCGGCTTGGAACGGGCTTGCACAGAACAGCGCTTCGCTCCGAGTGTTGCGAGTTGCACTTTGAGGCGACCCGGGACAGAGGTCGTTGGTGGGCTCAACGCGCCGTCCCGCGCGGGACAGTCCTGCAAGCTGCTGGCAAAAATGCTGCGGAAGCCGAAGCCCAATTGAATGAGTCCTGCGAGAGTTCGGCGAGGCGATGGTCGGTGCAGAGTGGACCAACAGCTGTACCTGTCCTGGCCCTGTGCTCAGCTTAAGGTGGCCTGTGCCATCTGTGCCGGCGATGGGAAGAGAGCAAGGCCAGCGCCTAAGAAGGGTGTGTCACCCTCAAGAACGCACACGGTCGGAGTTTCGGAGCTGATGTCCTCTGGGTGACGTGCCTCCTGCCTACAGGCTTCGAGCTGACAGTCACACCATCTGCCGCCTGCGTGCGTGGAAACAGACAGGACTAAGGAACGTCCTTGCCAGAGAGCAGCGACAACGGTTCTTCCAGCTGGGGTCGGGTGGAGCAGCCCACGGGG